GGGGGGGGGGGGGAGGGGGGGGGGGGGGGGGGGGGGGGGGCGTTGGGGAGATGGTCTCACTCTCTGTTCTCTCTCTGTTGCGGAACGTCGGGTGCCCATGCATATGGGAACGGTAGCGTTGGGTTCTGGTTTGGAGGAAGAAAAAAACAGGAGAAATCAGTGATTACGAAGGGAACATGGTAACGTGGAGTGCGCGCGACAGAGATCGCGGAAAGGGGGGGGGGGCAGGTAGCCTTGGGCGGTCTGGGCGGGGGGGGAGGAGAAGTTGAGCTTACAATATGCACGCTGTGTCTAGCAGAACACGGCGCGAACAGCATGACAACGCACCGCAGCAAGCAAGCGCGCAGGTAAAAAACGCTGATTTTCGAAATCGTTGTACTTACCAGACTACAGATCTGTGCGGTAACAAGCATTTGACACGCGAGAACAACGCAGCACGACGTCGTCCAACTGCTCGCATGTTCTGCACCCGCAAGAGATCAGCGACAAACACTCGTGCATATATGAATACTACGTGCTACTTCCAACCCACCTGCTTGAACCACACGCCATTCTCCTCGTCCACTAGCACCCAGACATCCTCGGGCGGAGCGATGCTGATGCTGAAGCACCTGAGCTGCTCGGCTGTTCCACCAAAAACCTAAAGGAGGCGACGGCGACGACGATGACAACAACGCCGAAAAATACAGCCGTAAGCACGTTGAAAACCAGCCGCCGTCTTGCGGAATACTAGGACAGCGACCGCAATGCGCATTGCATCGGGGGGGGGGACACGTGGTGAAAACGTATGCGCAGGCTTGGTTGTTGCATGTGGCTTACCCAGGTATACCACGTACCACCCTGTACATGGCTCTACTGAGAGTACAGGAGCATGGTGCTTGCTGCAAGGGGAGTTCTAGTATCCGCGTTTGAAAAGAGCACGCCGCGAGGCCAACAACGGAGGGGCGTGCCTATGACCGGCGGGCCGCGATCGGCCAACACCCTAAGAGAAAACAAACGTGAAGAAAAACAAAAAGACGAAAAAGAACGCCAGCAAACGCCACAACACAATGAACACCACCCAGGGCTTTCTTGGTGCGTCCGTCTTGATTCCATGACGCCACACTGCTGTCGTCAACCATGCTCCGACAGAGAGAGAGACAAATCTGCATACGAACATACCTTCGCTTGCTTCGCTCGCCCGTAGCGGTCGATGCCACCGTGTCCCCTCGCAGACGGCTTTTGCTTGATGGCGGTCAACAGCGCTTGAGACCTCCTGTACTCAAGACCCAGCTGGGGAGAGAAAGAAAGAAAGGGAGAGAGAGACGAAGAGAGAGATAGACAGACAGAGACGAAGGCGGGGGGGGGGACACAGACAGAGAGCACGAGTCAAACAACGTGGAAGACAGAACAGGTGAACATAAACACCTGCACGCATCTCACGCCATTTGGTGTACTCCTATAATGTGTTTACGTCGATAGACCCCTCAACACCGCGGGCCTCTCGCAGAACGTTGTCTTATCTTCCCTCCGATAACACAAAAACAAGCACCGGGCGGACAGAGACTCCTCGCCAACAACCTATCCAACACCTCTCACCCCCCAGCCCCCCCCCCCCATTCACCCAACACACACGTTCTAGGTCGCGTCCCTCTCGAACTAACTCGCAGCTTTCCGTAGTTTGAAATTATTACAACATGACGACGACGGCAGCGCAACGAGGTTCAGAAAATAGCAACGCAGGCTCACGTGTCCGACGTAAAGCAGGATGGCCTTCTGCAGGATGTTGTTCCTCTTCCCTTCCTCGGAGTCCTCGCTGCCTGCTTCCTCTGGCGCGTACATCACGTTCTTGCTCTGAACCCGGGTTTGAATTGTTGCAGTAACGGAGGGGGGCAAAAACAATACGGGGTGCGACGTGAGGGTTTGCACAAGCCTGACGGGGGAACGAAGCATGGGTTTCCACAAATTTATCCACAACGGCACCGCAGAAAAAAACCGCAGCAACATGCACGGCAAGAGCCGACAAGGCAATCGAAAGCAGCACCTACCGTGTGCCTATCTATGTACACTCACCTCTTTCTGGAACCTGACGGTAGTCTCGTAGGTGTTGTTCACGTTGTAGAACAAGTTCAGGCCGCAGGTGCGCAGCCACTCCTGGAGGGAGCGCCGCTTGGTCCTGAGCAGGGGGACGCTCGCGAGCAAGAAGGCGTCGAGGGCAAGGTGTCCCGAGATGGGCTTGTAGGTGCCGGCGGGCAGGAAGAAGCGCATGGCGATCGGGATGACGGCGGCGACGACGGTGTCGATCCAGGGGTTGCCCGTGGACAGCCTCCCCAGAATGCTCTCCTGTGGTAAATGTAGTTGAGGCCAGATTGTGAAGAGAGGTTGTTAGATATCAAGAATCGCAAACACGCATGCATGCATGCGTGCATGGAAAGATTTCTTCTTGAGACACAAAAGAAAAACCCTACAGCCTGTTCGTGTCATGCTTCGCTAGCGCACACTGCTGTTGTCGTATTAAAACGAATGTATTGGCAATTCGATACAGCAATGGATGTGCAGCTACACGCAGAAACTGGTGGCCTTGCCAAGGGTTCAAGGGCAGGTGCACTCAAACCTCGTGGCTTCCGGGGGTAAAAATGTGATTAATTCGAGGTCCTCTCTCTTGTGTTTTGGGTAGTTATCCGAGACTGTCTGTTGTTTCGCAATTATGTACGTGACAGATGAAGGAACTTCATCAAAGTATCCCTTGCAAAACAAACATCGCCTCGTCGAACGAAAGTGTAGTGTATCCACGCCGAGAGGGTGGAATGACACGACCGATATTTTTCAACGCGAACCTTGCGGGTTAGTGGGGGGCGGGCTGAGTGCTCTCCGCGCACATACTATTTTTCGTACGCCACGAGCAACACCTGACCTTGTCCCTCATGCCGCATGAAAGGGAGATGAAAGGCAGCGCTGGCCCACTCACAGAAACAGCAATTTTAGCAAGGTCCAACACCTTCATTGGTCGCCAGCGTCCGTGGAGCTCAGACTTTTGCGGAGAAGAGGTAGGATTCAGTGTAGTAGCACCGGCCGCTGTGAGTCTACTATTATTATTGACCGAATTTGTTCTTCGTAAAACATCTGAGACCCTGGATTTCTGACGCAACCTTCGCCCTCTATTTAAAACACCCCGTGTTTCGAGAGGACAGGCGCTTTGTACCCGCACACCCTCACCCAACCTCGGTCCAGTTCGTGATTAGGCTAGAGCTACCTCAAGATTTGTTTTGTACGCAAGACATTTTTTCCGGGGTGGGGAGGGTTCCCGGTTTCTGTATAATATACCTTTTTCGTGCTTGTGGAAGACAGGCCCGTCTTGCCGCGCCCCGCGGGCAATGCACAAATAGTGGGGCGGCGACACGCAGGGAGAGGGAGAACTCTGTGACGTGTACAGGCAGTACAGGAGTAGTCCCGAATAGTTCAGTTTTGCCCACGGGTTTTACATGAGCGGAGAGAATACACGCGAATGTGTGTATCCATGGACAGACTGCATTTGTAAACTTTGAACTTTGAGAACAAATCAGCTTCCGAGAAGGAATAAAACAACACAGACGCCCGTCTCGCCCCTTCCCTCGCTGTTCAGCGTGTGCTACACCAATGATCTAAGAAAAGTGTGACGCAGGCCAGCGGCGAACTCTTGGATAACCCTCCGGCATCCAGCCAACTTGATCCAACCATGCAACCTGGTGGTGATCATTTACTTGTGTTGCCATTGTTACCATTGTGGCATAAAAGAAGCCATTTATTTCACCAGTCAGTCGCCTCTCTCTGCTATCGTCAGCAGTTTATCACTGCGCACTCTCTCTCTCTCTTCGTGCACACGTCCCCCTTGTCCCTATTATTATCTTCTCTTTTCTAATCGCAGAAACCTAACACCTAGCAAGAGGGCAGCAGCGCCCTTTCGTTTTTCGTGTAAATCTTTGCAGGCAAACGGGCGTGTGTAAACGATGTGGTCTGGTGTTTGGCCGCAAAGCACTGAAAAGCACGAACAGCAGCAGCGGGCACCAGCGTGCGTCAATATTTGTGCGGGTGCTTTTTCGGACAGAACAGCTGTTCATTACAGGGAAAAAGCAAGGGCAAGTTCTGCCTGCCCCAAGTGGCAGCAGGGGCAGGAGTCAGGCTGTGGGGCATCTTCGTGAAGTCGGCCTCTTAGTCGTTACTTCGAACTTTGAACTGACTTCAATCATGTCACGTTGGTTGCGGTGGGCGTGAGCAGCCGAGAAAATAAACGAGGCAGGCGCTACGGACCTCGCTGCTGAGTAATCCTCAGCTGCTACTCACATGCATGCCACCCCCGCCACCATTTTTTAAAAGGAAGTCCATCTTCATCATGAAGTCCATGGTGTGCGCAGGGAATGAAGGAAGCGTGCCCCTCAGCGGCGTGCTGTGTGTGTGTTCCTACGGAAATGAAAGAACACGCGGACCGTTACAGGGGACACGCAGATGATATTTTCCCCTGCTCGCGACCGTTTCCTGGACCGTTGCGCACAAGAGCCAAAGGATTGCTTCGAATTCGCATCATATTTATGCACATGATATGCATGCTGCTGTACGCATATCATGTGCACTGGTGCTTAGAGTTACATGCACCGCCATCAAGTGTGTTCGGTGGCACAGCTCTCGTGTGCTTTTGTGTCAGGGAATATGGGTGCTCGTGTGCCCCTCTCCCAAGCAGGCGTAGCACTCCAGCAGTAGCGAGGCCAAGCTTGTTCTTCCAACGGTTGTACAAACTGCGTACGAGACGGGAGTCTTTTGTAGCGAGAGATTGATCCCTTGGACCATCGTTGTTAAATATCTCCGAAAGAACCGTGTCACCTTTTAACACTCGGGTATCAACAGGTCAACGCGAGACGAGAGATACAGCAGTATCCTCCGGACTACAGCAGCAGTAAATCGATCTTGACAGCCCTCCACCTCGGGTTCACCTCCGCCTTTTGCTCGCCGAAGTACCCGGCCTCTTGGTGCGTCACGGCCATCCAGCAGCACCGTATTTTCGCAGACTTTTCGTCGGAGAGAAAACGAACTTCGCCAAGATTCATGCGTGTTTCATGTGTTTGGTAAGCTTAGGTGCTGGGCTGATTCGTATGCTTCGGTGTATCTATGTCGACCTTCGATGCATGATGCGCGAGAACACCAGCAAGTAAGTGTAGAGCAATAGCGTACCTTTGCAAACAATGCAAATGGTACAATAATAGCGCGTGGGACAGGAAACCCGGTTGGCGAGCCACGCCCGGAAACGCTCTTGAAGAGCACTGTGTGCGAAGGAACAGGTGGCAGGTAAAATCCACAGCAGCTTGCGGCAAGATCATACCGACACGGCATTTTCAGTGAGCTTTTTATTATGTTCTTCCGAAAAAGAAACGAGCGGCAGATCATACATCACAGGGGATGGGATCGGCCAAAAGCAGACGAGGGCTCGTCAACCAACACACCACAACGCTGGCCATCGCAGAAGGCACGGTTGCCCGCTCCTATCAACCCGTCTAGGCATGCTCGTCTGGTCCCCCCTCCCGACCCCCCTCCAGAGCAAACCAACCAAAGCAAGACCGCCAAAAAACAGATCCCGCATTGCGAACAAGTGTTGCAAAGCTTGGTGGCAGCTGAAAGAACGTAGCCGGCCAGATGTCTACTTGGCGGCCTTCTTCGCCTTGTGCTTGGCGATACGGCGACCGGTGCCGCGGATCTTCTTCTGCCTGTTCTTGGCCTCCTTGATCTGCTTGCGGGAGGTCTCCTTCTTGTCCTGAAACAAGGAAGAAAAAAAAACACAACACACAAAAGAGTGTGTGAGACATTCGAAAGTTGGGACAATCGCTTAACAGTCTTCGACGTTTGTTGACAAAGAAGAGAATGCAAACAAGCTGAGTTGTGTATCGAACTGCTTTGTCCCACATACTTTTTTTTATTGTCTTCACTTCAAATCAGCGCTCACAGCACTAGCGCCGTTTTACTCCAACCCGCCGTACGTTAGAAGGTACCGAGCAGAGACCGGAAATATTTTGTAGGGCCAAGACCACGAAAACAACAGCAACAGCAAGAGTCGCGACATGACAAAAAAAAACGTCTCAAAACCGCTACCATGCACCACAAATGTACCAAGAACGTTTCTGAAAACAGTCTGTTTCAGGCCACGGCTCAAAACACACACCTGGAGACCCGCCCGTGCGAGACGGTGCTTGGGCTCAAACTTCTTCATGTCCTCCACGCTGTCGTAAATGAGGCAGAAGCCGGTGCTCTTGCCCCCACCGAAGTGGGTCCGGAAGCCGAAGAGGGTCACCATCGTCGCGTCCGACACGCGGAACTTCTGCTCGGGCGCACATGCGCAGAGAAAGAGACAGAGAGACAGGCGGGGTACAAGATTGGACACGGACTGAATTTTTCACGAAAAAACTTCCGCAGCGCATTCTGGCGAAGGTGCTTGCTTCGAAAATACGCGTGTGTTTAGCCTCGAGGGAGGTTCAGGGAGGGGGGGGGGGGGTACGCGGCCGTCGAGTTGGCGGTGAGCAGCAGCTCCAGTTTCATCACGAAAACCGACCAACAGAGACGAACAAATCCCAAAACAGAAGTACGCCGTGCCATCGCTTCACCAACACCGTTGATAAGGCAGTCTGATCGTTGCACCAAAAAATGAGGTCGTGCTGCCGAAATACAAAATGTGCTTTGCAAGGTACCATGAAGCACGGCCTATAGAACGAGCAAAAACAAGAAGTACACATGTATCAATTGCAAGCAAGAGCGATAACATGGATGGGTTACAGCTCCAAACCACTCGAGAAATGGATGACGCTTAATTCGTCCTCAGTGTTTGCGACTAAGATTAAAGCTTGTCGTCATCGTGGTCCAAGTATGGTCGCCCAAAGACCATGAAAATATTTCGCTCTTCCGTCCCCCGCCCGAATAAAACAACATCGCAACCATCCACACCACAACAAGCCGTTCGAAGCCACTCGAGAAATGGATGACGCTTAATTCGTCCTCAGTGTTTGCGACTAAGATTAAAGCTTGTCGTCATCGTGGTCCAAGTACGGCCGCCCCAAGGAAATCGAAAAATATTCTTGCCCCACTCCCTCGCACAACTAAAATAAAACAAAAACATCCACACCACAGCAACAAGCCGTTCGAAGCCACTCGAGAAATGGATGACGCTTAATTCGTCCTCAGTGTTTGCGACTAAGATTAAAGCTTGTCATTGTGGTCCAAGTACGGCCGCCCCAAGGAAATCGAAAATTAGTCTGGCCCACTCCCTGGCACAATTAGCATAAAAACAAAAACATCCACACCACAGCAACAAGCAGTTCGAAGCCACTCGAGAAATGGATGACGCTTAATTCGTCCTCAGTGTTTGCGACTAAGATTAAAGCTTGTCGTCATCGTGGTCCAAGTACGGCCGCCCCAAGGAAATCGAAAAATATTCTTGCCCCACTCCCTCGCACAACTAAAATAAAACAAAAACATCCAACACCACAGCAACAAGCCGTTCGAAGCCACTCGAGAAATGGATGACGCTTAATTCGTCCTCAGTGTTTGCGACTAAGATTAAAGCTTGTCGTCATCGTGGTCGAAGTACGGCTGCCCAAAGGTGATGGAAGGCTACTCTTACCCAGTCTCTCACACGACAAAAGACAACAATGCTCAAACCCACACCAGGAAAAAAACCCATCGAAACCAATGGAAGGAGTGGGAAACCCTGCTAAACCCGTCCTTGCTGTTTTCGACCAAAATCTTGAAGGTTGTTCGGCTACCCCGAGCTCCAATCAAACCTGAAAAGAATTACGCTGTAACTGTACATGGGCACCGTTTGAAACCACTCGAGAAATGGATGACGCTTAATTCGTCCTCAGTGTTTGCGACTAAGATCAAAGCTTGTCGTCATCGTGGTCAAAGGGCGGCCGTCCAATGGTCATGCAAATACGTAGCACTCTTCACCCCCCCCCCCCCATTGCACTCGTACGGCAGGCGACAGCAGTGTTCGCGATTCCGTATTGACATGAAAATTAATGGGCAGGGACTCCAGGCTTGGCACTGTCATGATCAAGACAAAAACATGGCACAGGACAGCAGCCAACAGGGACCGCTGTAGTGGCATGCCACGACCGTCGTTATCGCGCAGTGTGCGAAGCTAGCATTCCATCGCCCGCCCCTCTTTTCCGTGCCAACAGAATAAGACGTCAGCACACAACGGCTTGACAAACATTTCAGGCAAAGACTAACCTTCGCGATCATCTCCCCGAGCTCGGTCTTGGAGACGTTGGCCACGCCGGGGTGGATGATGTCCACGACCTTCGCACACAAGGCGGATACAAGCACAGAGAGAGAGCGTGTGAGCCAAGGGCTGGTGGTCAAAAAGCCAATGAAACAGGTCTCAGTAAGGCAAACACAGGAGGGGGGAGATTTAAAGCGCACGCACAAGCACACGGCGAAGCAATCTTCACTGCAGTCGGACGCATGAGACGGGGCAGCATCGCCCTTGCGCATGACTACGATGGTTGGTGGGCAAGCGGGAGGGGAACCACACGACACGACAACCAACCCAGAGAAAGGGAAATGCGGCCGCAGTCGATGGATCACGCCGTTCATTCTCTGTGATGGTGAATCACACGCCACTAGTTGTATCTCACGTAACGATAAGTGCACATCCTGACATTTGAAAAACAAAAAACAATCCCTCCTGCGTGACCTTCCTCCTGTGTGACACTCACCGATACGCCAAACATTAATACAAGTACATACCCCGAAAGGTGTGGAGATCGGCACCATACACATATGGGACCGACACACACACAGCGTGATGGATGCCAATGAGTAAACACACACAATTGGCACCTCCGGTGGTGCTAGAAGAGCTCACAGGGTTGTAAACATTGTTTCAAGGGGTACCTCCAGCAAACGAATGGGACACCAGGATCTGTATGTTGTGGATAGAGCGGGACTGCTGTCGCCATGGTGGTGGACATGTGGGTGGTACGAAAGAGCTCCAGCGACAGAAGCAATTTACTGCCAACTTCTGTCTTTGCTGTGCCAACAACAAGAATGAAAAATGGAGACAGCGTTCCGGTCGCTTTGGTGGTTTGGTAACCTCCTCGCGTCAACTGCTGTCTGCTGGGGGCTCGGCCGGGAGTCAAATCCGGGGGGGCCGGGGGGTGACGTTGCCGGGGCAGCTGTATCTACTTACTAAATAAATAGCTCTATAGCTCGGTAGTACCCGTAACGAAGGTGGTGCGGCAGAGCCGTGGTGCACCCTTTGACAGACAGCAGCATCACCTGTGGCAATTTGGAGTAGTCTACAACGCCAAAATACACGTGCCCGCAGCCTTTCGGCTTTCGGATCACGCAAAACTTTCGAATGCTCAAGCTATTGCTGGTGGCTCGCTGGACACAAAGCGTACAGCAAACAGCACCGCGCTCTGCCGCATTTTACAGCACATCCCCGGAACTTTCTATAGAACGGGGATGAGGAATTCGTGCGCAGTCTTCTCCAGTTTGAAAAGCAAACAGGGCGGTTTACCGCCGTTTCCCATCTCTGCAAGCGTAGCTGTAAGGGTGCCATGAACGCCGTGCGGGTGTTGTAATACTGGTTTTTGAGACTCTCCAGGCGACACATCGCACGGCAGGGCAACACAGCAGCAGATGTACACCCCATGGACACAGCCTTGTGTTCGCGTGAGGGCAGTCCGCAGCAAGCGGGATTCATGGACGTGCAAGACCCATCTACAGCAGACAAGCATCCCTAGATGTCAGCATCCGACTTGGACTGCCATGCCGCGGCGGGGTCCACATAGGTTTGGCTCCACTGCTGCTGCTGCGCTGCCAAGCGCCTTGTTTTTGGATAGGACTTGCTGTGATGGGAAAACACATGGCCGAGGTTTCAGCAAACCGTCTTTTCTACCACAAAAGGGCAGCGAGGCCGTCTGTCTTGTAAGATCAAACGCTGGGGTAGCGGTAGCAACGGACCGTGACGCCCCCGGCTGGAAGCAATCCTTCTCTCTCAATTGCTGGTCCTCCAAAGCCAACCACTCACACCGCACAGCGGCCCATCCCCACCAGCGCGCGTCTCCTAAGAAAAATCGATCTCTCACCATCTGCCTCCGCGCGAGCAGGGCATTCCTGATGAACTTCCGCGTCCGTACGGTGACGTTGGAAGACATGGTGCAGCTATGGCTCTGCCGCTCGATGCAAAGCTCGCTGAATGGCCTGGCCGTCTCTCTCGCTCCTCTCCCTGAGCCTACCCCCCCCCCCCTACCCCCCTAAATTCCATATTTGAATATTGAGGGAGGGCGCTCGAACCAAATATACAAGAGGACAGCCAAACATATCGCGTACAAACCCTTAATACTTAGTTTCAGTATGCAAATTATGAAACCAAGATGAAGTTCGTCCTACCCTCCAGCGCTAGCTGCAGAGCCGCCTTTCAAAATTCAAATTCAGCCCACAGCGGCCAGCCAGCGCAAGAGAGTGTTACATCCCAAGCCTCGCGAGAGCAGAAAACAGAGAGAGAGAGAGAGGGAGTGTGTACTGCGCATCTGCCTTTCTCGCACTAGATCCAAACATGTCGTCGATCCCTGGCGGTGCTGTTGGCGATGCAGCGCCAGAAGAAGAGAGCACTGCAACGCCGCCCGCGCGTTCAGACGCCTGCGACGGCGACGACAGCACCGGCACGGCTGCACCAACATCGGCACCTGCTCCTACTTCTCCTGCTTCTCCCCCGTTGCCCATGCAGGAAGAAGGTGGTGACGAGGGTTGGCATGACAGTTCGCCGGCGGCGCCAAGGAGGATGGGTTCGCCGTCCAGGTCGGCACCTCCTACGCCCATGTCGGACTTCAGCCCCCCGCGCAGCCTCTCCGGCTCCATCCCTAGGACGCCCTCTTCGATGGGGGGCAGGAGCTTGCCAGGCACGCCGCGAACACCTTTCACGCCGATGGACATGCAGGTGGGTGCCAGGAGAACAGAGCGCGCTGTACGCAGCAGGAGCTTGCAAGGAAAGACGACAAAGATCACGTTTTTTTTTTAATGATATCTTCACCGGAACTCTGGTGCTGTTCGGTCGAGAGGGCGGGACTGCTGTGGTTGTTTTACAAGTACTGCTGTGCTGCGTTCGTTCATGACATGCTTCAAGTAGTCTACAGCAGTGCATGATCAGATTGTGAATTTCATCCAGTAGGCGGCCCGGTTCTCGGTTTCATAAAGCGAGCTCAACTGCTAAAGTAGCAGCACACCCATCTACCTCCAAAATAGTACCATGTCTCCGCGAAGCTGGTCATGACTTGGCAGTTTGCATTGCGCCTAATTCTCCGATGTCACAGCATGCACACAACAGCAGAGGCTCGTTCTGACACATGGTAGAGCCCGGCAACACTCATCGACCCCGTTCTCGCCATTAAACAAGCCCTTGTCCCCTCGCCGTTTCCCCCTTTCTTTTTCTCTCCAACACCGCCCAACGTTGCGTGTGTGTCCTGTAACACTGTAACAATACCCCGACACACCCGCCAAGTCGCCGCTGTCCCAACGAGACTCCACCGCGCTTCCTCGGGGTGACCTCGGCCGCCGAGCGGCAAACCTCGCCTCGCTCAGCGGCGGCGGTGGCGGTGGCGGCGGCGGCGGCGGCGGCGGAAGCGTCAACACCCCGCAGAAAAGCCCTGCCCCCAACAGATCGTCCAGTAGAACTAGCATGGGCGGCGGCTCTCCGCAGTCTTTGCCGAGCACGCCGGGATCCCACGCCTCTTCCCGTAGAAGCCGCACCGCGGGCTGGAAGGATAACCGAAGAAGGCGAGGCGGAGGCGGAGGCGGTGGGGGTGGAGGCGGTGATGACGACGATGATGATGACACGGGAGATGGGGGTGGGGGCAGCGGGGGTGGTGGCGGCGGCGGCGGCGGCGGTGGCGGCGGTGGCGGTGGTGGCGGTGGTGGAGGTGGTGGCGGTGGCGACGGGCCAAGCCCGCCGGGATCTCCGGGGCCCAACCAGGGCGGCACGGGTATCATGCAGGGGCAGGAAAGAGCGGTGATCTGGGGCACGGACGTGAACGTTGTGGAGTCGATGGAGAGGTTCAGGCAGTTCTTGCTGGAGTTCACGCTGGAGGGGGAGGACGAGCCGCTGTACAAGTCGCAGTTGGAGGAGATCCACCGAACACAGGCGAGATTAACTTGGACGGAGGAGGGGGTGTATCTGAGTACTGTGGTGCTTCCCCCTGCGGCGTTCGATTGTGTCGTGCGTTGCTCCACCATTGCTCCACCAATGCGAAAGTTGTGTCCTCGCTGGGGGTGGTCGCCGTCGTAGAGTGTCCGTCCATCGTTCGCGCGAAGCACGCGCTTAGCCGAAGATCTCCGGTGGCTGAATGGTGACTTCTCTGTTATTGTCTTGCGCTACTCGTTTGTTGTTCCCTCGTTACGTGTGTCTTGACAACTTTGTTCTCTCCCTATCTAGTATTCTAGTGTGTTCCGCAGGCAGCTACCGCCAGGGATTTGGTCTGCCGTCCACAACAAGCCGCCGTGATCTCGGTGCACGAACGAAAGCGTTCCTTGCCGTGCGCTCGGCCCCTTTCCCCCTCATGTCGTCCCTCCCTTCCCATCCTTCCGTGCCGCGCAGGAGTTCAACATCAGCATCAACTGCAAGCATCTCTACAGCTTCGTGCCCTCCCGCAGGCTGTACCAACAACTGGTGCACTACCCGCAGGTAGCCGAGCAGATCTTACCGACCTTCTTCTGTTGTTCCGTCGCCGGCTTCCGCTACGCATGTACCAGTATCATGCAGGAGTCGCAACGGCAGTTAGTTGTGTTGGCACCCCCGCCGACGAACGAGCCCAGAGTTGGATGTGCACCATTTATAGTAGGGTCGTGTTTTGGCGTTCAGATTTCATGTTCTTGAGGGGCTTGCCAAGCACACGGACTGCTGCCCCGGCTACTACGATTTCGGCTACCTTGAGACCCCCCCCTTGAGCACGACATCGCGCGTGTAGATTGAAAGCTGGTCTGTACACAATAACGAACATATATATATATACCGATTATTCACATTCTTCTATTTTTGCGCGTTCGGTCGCATACATACATCGACAAATGCCGACATTGCCGCGAGGTCCCTGCCAACCCTTCCAAGGGGCGGGTGCGCACGAAGCAGCACGTCAACATTAGTTATGCATCCTTTGTTTGCGCTGATGCACTACCGCCTGCTGACCCCCTGTGCCCCCTCTGCTGCGGCGGGTCGGTATGCTGGCGTCCGGCCTTGTTTCAGGAAATCGTCCCCATCATGGACCTCGCCGTGAACGAAGAGTTCACCAGGATGTTCTCGGAGGAGGAGCTCATGGGTTCACGCCGCATTCAGGTACGTGTCGAGACGATGAAAGACAAACACGCGAGGGGAAGGGCTCGCGTGCTCAGGTTACGTCGGTCTAAATGCCTCTCCGTTGTACTCCATTTGCTATTGTGGTACCTCTCTGTATAGGCACGTTGAGTGGAACAGGAGACACAAAGGCAAGGGGCTTACATATATATCTGTATCTAGGCAAGAATGTTGCTCTTCGCCATGAACGCCCTCAGCTTTGTACTGCAGGGAGCACGCCGCATGGGTATGCAGCAGGCTAACAATTGGTGAGGGAACGGAGGAACTGTGTCGTCCAGGTGTACAGGCTGTCTGTCTGTACGTCGACTATCGCAGTGGTACCACACACAGAAAATGTTTTTTTGCGGCCTGATGGATAGCTGCGTTCCGCTTTCAAGTATTCGTGTTTGAAGCCTGATGTCGGCGTGCCTTCTCTCGCGCAGCAGTGGAGTCTCTCCGTGAAGAAACTCGCGGTTGACTTCATTAGTTTTTCGGGATCGGGGGCGGTGAACAACCGTCGTCCGTTTCTTACCTCTCCTACTGCTTGCTACACCAGACCCCACACTAATGCCTTCGTGTTTGCCGTTCACGGCATTGCGAACTTGCCTAGATTCCCACACTTTTTTTCGAAAATTGCGACAACGTGGGGGGGGGAAGGGGCTGTGACTCCCACGCTGTACGTGGGGCGAGACTAGGTGTGGATAGCTCAAAGAAGGGGACTCCCGCTGGTGTACAGCGGCTCGGGGCGTGAAAAAAGCACGCTTGCAATCACCCGGCTACATACCGTTTGGAGGCAAACAGGGCCCGCACCCGACGTCCTTGCCACGCGAAAAGTGCTTTTATTCCCAAAGACTCCCCACCGCCACCACCCTCCTTTTCATCCCCATTCTCCAAATAACGTGCACCCCCGACCGGCAAAAAATGCACGTTCGTGAGTTTTTTTCCGAACCAACCACACCATGTATGTGTGGAACGGGCTGCAGGTTCGCACGTACAACTTGCGGGAGGTGAAGCCTTTGAGGAACCTGGACCCGCAGCACATCGACCAGATGGTGGCCCTCCGGGGGATGGTGATCCGAACGAGCCAGATCATCCCGGACCTCAAGCAGGCGTTCTTCCGCTGCATCGTTTGCAACGCTTCGAAAGAGGTGGGTTGGTTATAGCTGTACCTGTCGATATTCGATACGCGCGTCTATCGTGGGGTATGATACTATGAAGCAGGAGCGAGCAGCACTACGAGTTGGAAATCTCGCTCGATGCCGATCTACCAGTACCGTTGTGCTCGCGGGAGCAACGGTACCGCTGTCACTCATTTCTTGCTCTCTGGTGGACAGGTGCTGCAGATGAAGCGGACCTTGCGATCATTACACTCCTGCCGCCATACTGCTGTTGCTCTTTTGACTTGTATGTCTTCGGCGCGTGCCTCGCTTCTGGCTCTGTTGTACAAAAGAATAACTACATACCGTAGTCCCCCGTAGGCACACGGGCGGCCACGTTACCTGGCCGACTCGTCCAGCTTGTCCCCTTTTTGGTGCTGCCGTCAACGGGGTCAATCTGGTTGTTGTTTTTTTTTCGGTGAGGTACTGTACGGAGGAGTGACAAACTGTCTCCCGTGTGTCGTGTGGGCTTGGGCGTCTTCTTCTCGTATCCCTTCTTGTCTCCGAAGCTATTATAATATTATTATTGTGTCCATCGTAGGTGCCGCCCCGGAAGCGTTGCCCGGAGTGTTTTCTTTAGGGCAGAAACCGCCGCGCCGTAAGCGTCATCTCTCGCTGTTGGTCTGGTGCCCTGCCTGAATAACACAGCAGCAGCAGCAGCAGCAGTATCCCGTCGCTTTATACCTACTTGGCGCGTTTCTTTTGACGATGGTAATGGTATAAAAATGGTTACGATGGTGATGACTACTGTTGTGGTTGATGCAGGTGATGATCGACCGGGGCCGCATCGACGAGCCCTCGTCCTGCCACATGTGCGGGAACACCATGTCCATGGAGCTGGTGCACAACCGCTGCCTCTTCACCGACAAGCAGATGGTTCGACTGCAGGTCGGTTGTTGCTCTTGCTGCTCTTTGGTTGCTCTTGTTGGCCCTCTTGCTGTTGTTCCCGTTGCTCTTGATGTTGTTTTTTGTGGCACTCGCGATTGTCGTTGTCTTGTTGTGCGCAGTGTTCGTTTGCACGTTAGTGCGATGACTCTCGAAAACCGGCGTCGGTATAGGACAAAGAATACGCCCTCGTGTGTACGCACCCATTCCACAAGCAACATATTAGAAGTGCGTGGGAAGAAGCAGAGGGTACATACATTGGGATTGCTACCCCGCAAAGCGTGAACGGAATCGAACTTGCTTCATCCCCCTCCTTGAGTGTTTTCCCCCACCCTCTCCCTTATAACGGCTCGCCAGGAAACTCCGGACGAGATCCCGGAGGGAGAAACGCCTGCCACGGCGACTGTTTTCGCTTTCGACGACCTCGTCGATGCGGTCCGACCGGGAGACAGGTGAGGTGCGGGGGGGGGGGGGGGGGAGGGAGGCCCGTTCCTCCGCAGGAAGGTCGCGATTATTTGCGTGGCAGTCCCTTGTCTTGTTTCTTTTCCGCTCCAGATCCTGCCGGCGTTCTATAATAGTTGCGCGTGTGTCATGTGTTGTCGTGTGCTTGCCGCGAAAACATTGTTTTGACTCTGGTGTCCGCCTCTGTGTATCTTGCCTGTGTGTGTATCTGTGCTCTCTCTCTCTCTCTCTCTCTCTCTCTCTCTCTCTCTGTATATCTGTGCTTGGCTCTGCCTCTGTCTTGTGCGTGTGCTTGTCAGGGTGGAGGTCACCGGGATCTTCAGGGCGGTGCCGAAGCGGGTCAACCCGAAGCAGAGGGTGGTACGCTCCGTGTACAAGACGTACGTCGATGTGATCCACTTCAGGTGTGTGATGCCTGCCGCCCACCCGCCCACGGATGGTTGAGGTGTCGCTGCTGCGGCTGCTGCTGCTGCCCTTAAACGCGTGAGATTGAGAGAATAGGTAAATTCCAGTGTGGTTGTCGTCAGTAACAGTTGGTTTTTGCGATTGTGTGGCCATTGACTAGAGCCTCGTTGACACAAAAATAAACGGCGATGCAATAAAGCACACGCACATACACAACCCGCCCACATCGAGACCTTTTACCCAGCCATCCCATCCCCAATAAGCAAGCCCACCCAAACAACAATAATACCGTCTTCAGTCCACACCGTCATCACTTCTGCCGGTCGTGCAACCTAGACGGGCGTCTAGGCAACTGTACAAAATGGGGCGGGACAAAAAAGCAATTGGGAAAGTATACACAAGGAGTCCAGATGTTCACCACCCTGATTTTGGTCCCTTCTCCGCGCCGGATGCAACAGGTCTACCGAGTCAGACTCTGAGGTGGACGGGCGAGGCGGGGGCGGCGCCTCGCACGGCACGGCGGCGGAGCTGGAGGCGGCCCAGGGAGGGGTGGAGAGGTCTCGCTTCTCTCCCGGACGGATAGCGGAGTTCAAGCAGCTGGCCGCAGATCCTCGGGTCTACGAGAAGGTGATGTGACGTTTTGTGTTGGCTTGAGCTGCTGTCGAATATTTGTTGGTCACGTAGGGACACGAAGAAAATATTGTACGGTAGAGCCACAGGGATCACCCGTTGCCACGTGCCTTGTACCCTTTGCACACGATTTCCAAGCGGATCACTCGCAGTTTAAAGCTGTGGTCAGCCACCTGATCGATCCATCGATCGGGACCGTTGCGAAAGATTTGGGAGTTTCATGTTCTTTCCTCTCTCTCACCAAACCCGTCTACTTCCGAAATTGAGAGCTGTGCCCTCGGGAGGCTACGTCTCGTGTGCGCGATGGTATGGTATCATAGACGGATGCCTTTTTTAATCGATTCTGCATCGCGGCTTTCAACCGCCGTTTCGCCGGGCTTTTCTGAGTTGAGGCAATTTCCTTGCCTTAGACAAGGTAGTCTTGACCTCGATGTTTTGTGTAGTCTGTCTGAACCGTGTCGTCCTCCTACCGGGTTCATAGCTGAACTGCTGCTGCTGCTGCTGTTGCTGTGTGTGTTTTGGCGTCGGAAGAGCGCTCTCCCGCGGAGGCTGTCGGGAACGTTTTCTTTTCGCAATGTACTAGAACGAACGAAGGATTTTTAGCTCAAGAGCAGTTAAACATGACCGATGGTTGACCGGGACATTCGGTCTGTAGTTGTATGCACTGTTTTGCCTGTAGAGACGTTATTTATTTGGTCCCGCTCCTCGTCAGTCTTTCAAACCCACCCCCTTTCTCGTCTGCTGCTGCCCCCCCCCCCCCCCCCCTTCCTCCGTTCTGCGGTTGGTTTCGTGTGCAATTTTGATCCGTTAATAGTTGGTGGCCGCTATCGCCCCTTCTATCTGGGAGCTGGACGATGTGAAGAAGGGCATCTTGTGTCAGCTCTTCGGTGGCAACAGCAAGGTAAGTGATGATGCTCGATTTCACCCACCCTTTGTATCTACTTTGTCTGTCCTGTGCGCCCTCCCCACCTCACCGGCCATGCCGTTACCCATTTACCCCCCGCTAACCACACCAAACCCACATCCGCCCCGACCAATCGCACTCGATGGCAAATTCCTCAGTCGGCGTCTGCACAGGAGGACGAGGACGACGTAGACCCAGAGACAGACGCCCTTACGGACCCCAACACCCAAGACTCGCAGGCCGAACGCAATGCGGCGCGCCCGAGCGTCAGCAGTACCCGGGGGAACAGGTGATTCGATTGTTTCTCTCGCGGGATTATGCTTCCGTCTGCGTTCTCTGTGCTTGTACCCTTGCCTAGGTGTTACGGAGACGTGTATCGGTTCAGGTTACTTTTACAATTTTTTGTGACGTCTCTTGTTTGTGCCGTGCGTGCGTTCTGCCTATTTTTAGAAGCAGGATACCAAGTGCCTTTCGGAGGAAAGACAATTTCAAGCAACATCACCATAGGTCCTCATCACAAGTAGCTGGGGGGGGGGTGGCGGCTCGTTCAGTCTGTCAACCCGCTTGAATGAGTGGTTTTCGGCTGGAAACGACCGGCCGTGTTGATTTTCGTTTTTCCTGTCAATCTTGGTGAAGTTTGGAGTGCTTCTTCCCAGCGACTTCAGGAGTAGCGTTTAGTGTTGATGCAGCCGAACAACTACTACGCACACTTTCGTGTTGCCCCAACTATCCATTTTTGGATACAGACCGTTCCGGAGCACGGTGCCCGCTTTCATGCCCCCGTCCTCGGCTGCATGTGTCCCGTCATTCCGTTGTTGGGTACCCAACTCACAGCTTTTGTTTCTTGGTTCATTTGGCATGGCATGGCATGGCGTCTTTTGCTTGTCATGGCGTGGTTTCTTAGCACCTCTCTCTTGTGTGTTGTATTATCGATTGTCGACGTCTGCGTGTGCGCGCGCGCGTCTCGCAGGACGCGAGGAGAGATCAACGTCCTCATGTGCGGGGACCCGGGCACCAGCAAGTCGCAGCTCTTGGCCTTCGTTCACAAGGTGAGTTATTTGTCGGTTGGACAACTGAACTTCTCGACGAACCCCCCCCCCCCCCCAATCCTACCCCTGGGGTGTGGAGCCCCGTGGTTCAAAGCAGCAGCATTCAGAGACGGTTTCGCCTACACACAATCGCATGCTAGTTTTCTTGACGTCTCGCCATTGTGAGGGTGGGGAGGAATGTGAGGCGTTCTCACAACAGCGGGCAATCAATCATAGCACAAGGTTGCCACATGTCCCACAGAAGAGGCGTTCACAACACAAGCGCGCGATCCATCCTCGAACAAGCTTGCCGCATGCCCCACAGATAAAACAAAAACGTGCCCCCACGCACACACGCACATGGTCAGACACGCCTTGGGATTCTCTTGTTGCAGCCGCCGCCGACGATGCAAAGATAGTAAACAACGCACATGCAAACTCTCTGGCACATGAATAACAAGTGGGGAAAAATTGACGACGAGTCAGCCTTCCTCCGCCTTAAAAAGGTTTCATAAACGAACAAGGTTCGGAGACGGTTGCCTTCGAGCTGCCAGCTCTTTTCCTATTGGTGCGAAGCCATGACGCCTTTGTGAGCCAGGAGTTAATGATCGACCGAGTCCCACGAAAGCCGACTGGTTGGGGATCTCATAGGTTGACCGATAAGAGGCGGGTGGCAATGAAGGAGGGAGGGAGGGAGAACTCGATGGAGGGTAGAGACGACGACATGGGGCAAATGGTGCTGGCGAAAAGGAGGATGACGGTGACTCGGAGGAGAACATCATGAGTAGCAAGGAAAGAGGAGGGAACGGAAGGAAAGAGAGACGAACGGAAACGTGGACGTAGAAGGAAGAGGTGGCTGCAAAGAGAGCAACTTTTTCGACCCAAGCTGATCTTGTGCACGACAAGCGCCGGAGATTTTGAGAACTGCCCTGAAGTAGCACATGTGGTGGACAAATCAGCGAAGAGAGAGAGTGGTGAACGCAAGGAGGATGATGACAGAAGCAAAACATTCGGAGGGAGCCAAAGCGAACACGAGTAAAAAGTGGATTATTCGGCAGACACGTGCATTTTTCTTCATCTTCTACCATTTCGGTCTTTACTTTGAAGAACTGCCTATTGTAGCCTCTCCCATGGCGCCCCCTCACCCAGGGTTCTAGATAATGAGCTTCATAGAAGCAAGCGCCTTCTGTTTCCAGCCGCAGGTGAGACTGACGTATTTTCATTGGTCAGCCGGTTAGTGCTGTCCCATGTTAAAACACACAAACACACCTTGTCCGTAAAACCCTTTGATTAGAAGGCGCGTTCGCGTTTTATGCTCCATCCCGCTACAAGACTGACGTGTTTTCATCGGTCAGCCGGTTAGCGCTGTCAACGCTAATCATACAGAGACACAGAGTACACACGTGCATTGCGCAACCACCGCAGGTGGCCCCACGAGGCATCTACACGAGCGGCAAGGGTTCGAGCGCCGTGGGCCTGACGGCGTCCGTCGTTCGTGACACGGAGACGCGCGACCTCGTTCTCGAGTCCGGGGCTTTGGTGCTGAGCGACAACGGTATCTGCTGCATCGACGAGTTCGACAAGATGTCGGACACGACGAGGGCAGTGCTGCACGAGGCCATGGAGCAGCAGACGGTGAGGTTTAGTCAGGCTTTTTCGTTGTTTTTGGTGAGGCCGCTGTCTTGGTTTCCAAGCCCTTCCTATTCTTCGCAACGATAACTGAGCCCTCTCCACGCTGCCCCCGCCCTCCCCTCTTCCTCCTCCTACCGCCGCCGTCGGAGTGGTGGCGTAGGATCCCCATTATGTTTTAACATGTGTCTTGTTCCGTTTCATATAAACCGCCGAACACAAAAACACGGGTAGATCGCAAGCTGCGATAACTTGTGTCCGTCCGGTTTTTTTTTTAACCACCGAACACAACCAAACGAACCGAACGCCAGATGCCATTTTGTTGTGCATATTTGAAGGCATCTTCAAATTCTTTTTAAATAGATACGATCACGAATCACGAACTGTTGCTACACATGTTCGATTTTTTTGCAAAGACACGCTTCCACCTTTTTCTGTCTATGTCGTGTCAACAAACGGGATATGAACGCGTTCGTGTCAGGTGTCGATTGCGAAGGCGGGAGTGATTTGCACCCTCAACGCTCGCACGGCCATCCTGGCGTCTGCCAACCCGGTGGAGAGCCGGTATAACCCGCGCCTGTCCGTGATCGAGAACATCAAGCTTCCGCCAACGCTTCTGTCCCGGTTCGACCTCATCTATCTGGTGAGAGAGGTCACACGGGAGGATAAGAGGGGAAAGATACGGAGGGGCAAGCAGACCGCAAGCTAGATATACAGGGAGAGAGAGAGAGAGAGAGAGAGAGAGAGAGAGAGAGAGAGAGAGAGAGAGAGCTACAGCGACGTCTCGTGTAGCGGACATTTTTCTCTCGCTCCTCCAGGATCATCCGTGCAGGGTAAGTTTCCCCCCACACTTTCGCCGCTTTGTCCTACGGTACACAAGGGTGCTGACCTTTTGTCACAAGAAAACGAAGACTGAAATACGCAGACCGTTATGGGATGCGTGTGGCTCCTCGCCCGGTAGTCGTTGGACTCACTTTTAACCGATGGCACCAAATAATTCTCCTCCCCAAGTATGCACGGACGGGTGGTATTTCGTATGTTTGCCGTATGCCGACGATCCCCGGGCGGCGGGCTGGGTGCTCAGATGTCTTCGCGAACATGAGTTTTGATAATGTGTAGACGCTGACGTTGCCGTCCTCTCACCCGCCTCTTTTCACGTTTCTTCAGTAGCGTAGGCATTGTGATCCCAACGTGTGCGTGATTCGCGTTTGCGGCTTGGGAACCGGTTCGGCCAGCCTGTTTCCCCACACGAGGCATCAGCTTCCTTCTCAATCGTCTTTAGTTCACGCCATGTGGCTTTTGGTGGTCGGTTTAAACGCACACCATGGATTGGTTGATGTTGCATCGGAACGAGCTCCCACCAACAAGTACAACCCCTCATTTCTCTTCTGACGCTGGGGAAAATTTGGCAGATCTTGGACAAGCCCAACGCCGCAATGGACCGGCAGCTGGCGCGGCACCTGGTATCCCTGTACTACAAGGTGCCCGTGGTACCGTCTTCCCCGCTGGAACAGGACTTTCTGATGGACTACATCGCCTACGCTCGCCGGCATATACAGCCAGAGGTGGGCATGTGCACTAGGTGTTTTATTTGCATGGCCCACGCTCTAACGGGCAGAGACCAATGAAGTGACATCGTTCCTACTTGCTGTGTGTGTAAAATACTTTTGAAATTTATTGTGGGAGACACGGGCGATGCATTGCTTGCTACGTTTTCCCACTCGCCACCCGGCCGATGTCATTTTCGTTGGCACTCTACCTACAGTAGTCCCTGGTGGCACTTGTTTGATGCTCCGTAATGTTGTTCATGCACACTTTACAGGGGGCTTCGAGTTTTGCTCTTCGTGTGTAGGTATGCACAGCGAGGATAACTCTTCCAAGAAAAAATTGCCCCCGCCCCTCCGTCCCCAGCGCTTCCCAACTAGATGCCACTCTGACTTACTGAACGCACCGAACTCGGCTCGTCGATTGCAGATAAGCGAGCCAGCCGTCCGGTCCCTCATCAAGGGGTACCTCGGCATGCGCAACATGGTGGGCAGGGGAACCAAGACCATCAGCGCAACCCCGAGGCAGCTGGAGAGCCTCATCCGCCTGTCGGAGGGGCTGGCCAAGATGCGACACGCTAGGTGACTTCTTCTTCTTCTTCTTCCGCGGATTGTCTTGGGCAGACCGTGCCCGTCATGCGTTGGAATGGTCAACTCCCGATGCGTCACGCGTGAATATTGTCCTTCATCGTGTGTGCATACAACTTGTGTGACCCGGCTGGAATGATTTTTATCCTGACAGAGACGTATGTAGAAAAAGGGTGAATGGACTGGCTTTGGTAGTATGAGTCGTCCCGCTTGTCATGCAACTTTCGTTGCGAAGAAATTTCGGCGTTTCGTCAACGTCGATCTTGATCTTTGACCTTTTACCGACGTATTCATGTATCCGGTTGATGTTGACCATGGTCTTGATCGTGATCATCGATGCGTCTTTCGTCTTGACACCTTATTCATGTAGACCTTGATGCCGACCTCTGACTAAATTTGTCATCGCTCACTTTTTACATCGTGACGAATCAGGTTCGTGGAAGACAGCGACGTGGCCGAGGCCGTGCGCCTCATGAGAGTAGCCACCCAGAACGCCGCTACAGACCCTAGGACGGGAACCATCGACATGGACATGATCGCGACGGGCCAGGGGGCCTCCGACCGGTGAGTCGTTTCTGCCGGAGGCAAGTGGACAACAGAGTGTACGGTTTCATTTTTGTGTTTCGTTCTGCTCCACGGGCGGGCGTCGTATATGTGTGTTCGTCGTCATGTCGGAAATGCCATCTGGAGCATGGGGCGTGATGCGGCTATGGAGCATGCGGAGCCTCGCCAGGATCGCTCATACACATTTGATACCAATGTAACCAGTACAAGTGTGTGCTCCACTCTGGCCCTCCTCCCGAGCTGCGTCCTGTCACATCCTCTAGTCAAGGTGTTCAGGGCTGTAGGATCGCGTTCTTGTGCTTCGCTTCTCTTGTTGTTTGATGCATTGGAAACCTGCCCTTGTGTTTATTTACGTGTGTTGGCCTCAACCGAAAGCGGAAGGGTGTCCTCCTCCTTTCTTGCGTCTCTCTTGTTTTCCCGGCCTCTCGCTCGAGCCAAAACCTGGGGAGTTGGGTGTCGTGCTTGTTTCCTTCGTTTTTCTTTTCGAATCAGAGACGCCGTGGATGCCCTAAGCGCGGAGATCAAGGCTCTGCTGACGGGACCCCTCAAGGGGAAGCGGACAGGGGTCGGGGAGCTCCGGAAGAAGATGGAAGCGCAGAGCGACGCACAGGTGAATGGGAAAGGGTGTAGGTGACACCGACGGTCAAAAACGAGAAACCCCATGCTCTACAGAGAAAAAACCGTGTAGAGCTCCCTACGGGTCAGTATGTGGGAGCCAGGTTGATGGGGTTTCCTAAGCTGTACAAATACACAAACTTGGTGATCCATTTTCCACCGAAGAAACGTTCCGAGATAACCCCCCCACCCGAGTTACTGCGAACCGACTTTGTGGACCTTGGAGTTGGAGGAAATGCGTCCACGATAACGACACGCTCCACTCCGAACTCTCAACCGAGGCTGTCCGAGGACACTCAGCCACGCTTGGCCTTTCGCGCCTCATTCCTCTTAAAGAGGAACTACGGCTCCACCGACGGTCGGTAAAACCACCACACCAAGGAATCTCTATTTCCAGAGTAGAAGGTTCCACGTTGGTTACCACGCGAAAACGACCACAACGCTCTTCGTCACCCGGCAGTGCGGAACCATATACTCTGTAGGGAGATTTCCAGAGTAGACTGTTCCGCTCCGCAGAGAGCTTTTCTATCATTTGAAAATATCACACTAACATACATCCATTATTTTCTTGGGGTTCACAGAGAATAAAATGAGAAATAGACAAAAGTCGGTATACCCACCCCTTTCTCAGACTAAATGGGGTACTCGAAAATTTGCTCTGCGGAGACCGCTCGTGACAGGGCAGAAAGCACTCAAAATATCATTCCGATGCATGGAAAACATGGGCAGGGCCCATGCACAGCATGAGCATCAAGTTTTTTCGACTTTCGGGCACGTGTTCACCCTACACACAGCCCCAGCACACAAAGGCTCAACAGGTTGCCC